AGACAATTTTTCTTTTGCAGATCAATGTGATTCAGAAGTGTGCTGGGGGCACTTGAAGTGGTATTCATTTAAGGAGCTTCGAATTGCCACCAACAACTTCAACTCCAAAAATATTCTTGGAAAAGGAGGGTATGGTATTGTTTACAAAGGTTGCTTGTGTGATGGCTCCATAGTAGCTGTTAAACGTTTAAGAGACTATAACACCATTAGAGGCATTCAATTCCAAACTGAGGTTGAAATGATAAGCTTGGCAGTTCATCGTCATCTACTTAGGCTTTGTGGATACTGCACGACAGAGAATGAGAGGCTCCTGGTCTATCCTTACATGGCCAATGGTAGTGTAGCTTCTCAATTAAGAGGTGAGTGTCCTACATGATTTGCAAGAACTAAAGAAAATTATGAAGTTGTAGGATACTTATAAGATTCATTCGTATCCAGTAGCAACTACTGACCATTCATATATTGATAATCAATATCCCGAAAACACAAGAAATTTTGAACATCTAACATTCTTTTTCAGCGGTCTTCCTTGGTGACTGAGGTAACCTAACATTACACGCCAATCTTATCAGTGTTCTCTTATGAGTTCTGTCATGATAATGACATTTATTTAAAATAATATCTGCATCCTTTATGAGAAGATACTGGAAATTGCCAACATGGGTTGCATCTTAATGCTACCAAAAAAGTCAATTGAAAATATAAATGTTTCTTATAGATTAATGCCCCATCTAATTATGGTATGATATAACATATGGCTCTGATTCCTGTGAATTTCTTTTTACAGTTAAATGGTGCCTTTTCATGTTGTTCCAACTTCCAAGACCTTCTAGACTATTTCTCTTGCTGCCTTTCTTCCTAGAGATTTTGCCCTTCTGTTAACACACACCTCTGATCTAACTGCAGAAAAGTTCATCCCATGATGACTTAAACCTAGTGATAAGATGTAGAAAGTCCATTTTGTAGTATGACTGCTGGTTACATAAATTAGAACATTTAGCAAACTGTTTGAATATCTGCCTTCTCATTGTTATTAATTTCTGACAGAACATATTCATGGTAGGCCAGTTTTAGACTGGTCAAGACGGAAAAAAATAGCTTTGGGGACGGCCCGGGGATTATTTTATCTGCATGAGCAGTGTGATCCAAAAATCATACATCGCGATGTAAAAGCTGCCAATATTCTTCTTGATGAAGATTTTGAAGCAGTGGTTGGAGATTTTGGGTTGGCAAAACTTTTGGATCATCAGGAGTCACATGTCACAACAGCTGTTCGTGGAACCGTGGGGCATATTGCGCCAGAGTATCTTTCGACTGGCCAGTCATCAGAAAAGACCGATGTCTTTGGATTTGGTATACTATTACTCGAGTTGATTACTGGTCAGAAAGCATTGGATTTTGGAAGACTTGCAAACCAGAAGGGTGTAATGCTTGACTGGGTAAGTTGTCTGTCTGCTACAAGTCGATTCTAGTATGTCAATATGCAATTGTCTAATTTTGACTTTTAAAAAAAAAAGGAAAAAGAGAAGCTCAATTGATGCGTGTGAATGTAGCTAGAGTAGCTCATGACAAAAAAGCAATAAACTTCTTACCCTTTTTGTTTGATGTCTCAATTTAAGGCCCAACCTAAATCAAAATGACTGAAAGGAAGAACCGATTGTTTGTGTTTGGGCAAATTTATGCCGACTAGCCGTTTGAGAATGATTCCTGCACTTTACTGTTCATATTGAGCCAATAACAGCCAAAGGTCCAAGTGGGACCTGAATGAATGGTCTTAAATGGTAATGCTGTGTGACATAATCCACAATATAGTTCTGTCCTATGTTATCTGATTCACAAATCTTCTCGATACTCCAAGACATAAGAGTGTCATGTGAGACCTTTGGCTTGCTGTACACTGCAAAAGTTCACATGTATAAGATACTATTGTGTGTTGACTGAGATAAACTAAATTCTATGTGCTCCTCGGAAATTGGAGGAGTTGCATTGAACATAGTTTACTCGGAACAATATTTTGATCCTCTACAGATCTAATGTTAGTGAGAGCTTTGTGCACCAGACCATCTTTTCTATTTTCTGTGCTTGTCCTAGTTCGGTTTAGAATTTTGTTTCGACAAATTACCATAATTTTGTCTCCTTTATAAGAATGTGGTTTCACCTTTTTTTTTTCAATTTGATTCATGAAGAATAGGAAAACTCAAGATTGATGTCGATAGGCTAAAACCTTCAGTAGGACCAGCTGTACATCTTCTGAAGCAAATGTACAATTTAGGTTGCTCGGTTAGAGATGCTAGTGCAATTCGCTTAACCGTCGTATTTTCTTCTTTCTTGGGCATTTGCAGGTAAAGAAACTCCATCAGGAGAATAGACTGAATATAATGGTGGACAAAGACCTTAAAAACAACTATGACAGGGTCGAGCTTGAAGAAATGGTTCAAGTGGCTCTTCTTTGCACACAATTTCACCCTTCTCACCGCCCAAAGATGTCAGAGGTGGTGAGAATGTTGGAAGGTGATGGCCTTGTCGAATCATGGGATGCCTTGCAGAAGATGGACACCCCAAAATGCCGATCCCTGGAGCGACAATCTCCCAAGTATGTGGACTTCATGGAGGATTCGTCATTGGTGTTAGAAGCGATCGAACTTTCAGGCCCCAGGTGAGCATGATAACGTCGTTGATTGTAAGTAAATTCGTGAATTATTTGGGAGCTTGGAAACGGAAGCCAAGTTGTTCCCTCGTATTTTTAGTCAGAGAACCTTTGTGTGCCATGCATTTATTTGTGCAAATGAAGAGAGGTTTGTATATGCAAAAAATATTAGAAGAAGGGGGGACAGTTCGAATATAAATGTGGCTATGGTTGCTCACGGTGGTTTAAGCCCCGCATTGCCGGTCAAACCATCCATCCATCCATCTGCATGTCGACAGTCCATCTTATTCGAAAGAAATAGATGAATAAGTGATAAATTGAATTCGCATTACATCTCCCCGTGCAACCAAGACATCACAGACATCATCCCGTAATCCAACATACCATGAATTGTCACTTCCTAGCAAATATCACCTGCATCATAGGCCACCACTTGTTGCAGAAGACACCGCATGATTGCATCCTCAGATTCTGCATGGGGCACAAAAGCCGCAACTTGGGGGTAAAGTTATTCACTATATCATCAGGAGTACATCGAGTGATCACCAGCTTCACACGCCATCATCCGTCAAACAAGCACCTTCACGGTTTCCAGGGCCTATCGGAGAACTGCAACCGATTGATTACCTATCCATATGCAATATGATGTTTACTCTTAGATTGGAGGTCGTGTTAGATAATATTCCGTCAGGCTCTTTTTTTGTGCTCACGCAGCTATGCACTTCTATGGTCCCGTTGTATTTCATCGATACCCTAGAATTCATTATCATACCATATTTAGCCATAGATGATATGCCAGTCAATATCAAAATGTTATACAATTTATATTTAAAAAAAATTTATATTGACATTTCTGAAATTATAAAAGTAAAACATCTAGTTTCATTTATCATAGCATTATCGATTTTACCAACGAAATATAAATATAAAAAGTAAAAGATAATTGTAACATTTCAGTTGGTAATAGTGAGCAACGTCGGTGGTGGCGGATGGCAACGTCGGTAGGGGCTGTGGGTGAAAAGAGTGACGATGAGAGGTAAGAGCCATTTTGTATTTGTATTGATATCGACGCAGTTGTCGAGCAATCCTTTCGTCACTTGGCAAGTGCGTCGATGTAGATGTAGAGCGACGAAAGGGTTACTCGACAACTATGTCGATAATAGGTACGATGATGTACTCAGTGTCAAATTTCAAGACCCATATTTTCCTATCGTCGTTGGATACATTCGTCGGGAGCTTGATAATCGCTTGCCTGCTATCCTTCCAGAACTTCCCTTCTCAGTCGGTGACAATCATGATGAATAGAGCTTCTCCAACAAGCCCCCTATCTCCCCTTTTCCATGCCCATGTCAGAACTAATGCGGTAGCGAGAGGAGCAGCATGAGCTCCGATGACCCCAACTTCAGGTCGAGCGATCCACCCAACGGGTCAATGGGGAGACGACCACCATTTTTGCTATAGACATCGCGACAGCCACCACCATCTGCATCAACACCAATGTAGTCATCGATCGACACAAGGGCCACTAATACAAATGTCAATCAACCCTTTCATCACTTGACAACTCTGTAGACGCCGACACAAATGCAGAGTGACACCACTCGACAATTACGTCAGCATCGACATAGATGCAAAGTACTCGACAACTACGTAGGCGTCGATGTAGAGCGACGAAAGGATCACTCGGCAATAACGTCAGCATCAACACAGATGTAAAACGACCATCAACTCTCATCATTACTCACATCCACAACCACCACCTACAACCCCCAATAACGTCATCGTTTGCACTTAACTGAAACATTAAAATTATTTTTTCATCTTTTATTTTTTATTTTCGTTGGTAAAACTAATGATATTATAATAAATAAACTTAAATATTTTATTTTTGTAACTATATGAATATCAATGTAATTTTTTTAAATGTAAAAATCGAGGTACTAAAGATAACTAACTATAAAAGATAATATGTAATTAACTCATCGACACTTGATTATTATTAACAAAATTACTACTATATTTGTAGGATCCTTGACACTATGAATTACATATTCATCGTAACCTTCGATTGAAGCAAAATATCTTCGATTGAAGCAGAGAAATACAACACAACCTTCGATTGTTTGGAACAAAGTACCAAAGTGATGCTCTGCATTGACTCGTCAACGTGTTGTCTGATATTTCAACACAATTAGCTAGCAAAGAATTTTGACTAAGAAAAATCTTGAGCAACTCAAGATCCGCTTAAGAAACACAACATATATAGAAAAAAATGGAACACATGATGCAGCCAAAACAAGCAAACTATGCTCAAAAACGATCTTAGAAGATTAAGCAAATGCACTGCCTACCAAAACCATAAAAAACAGAGCCCTTCTGGAATTGTAGTAGTGAACCACACAAATGAGAAAATGAGCTAACATAGGCATATTCTCAATCACAATCATGGAAGTGGAAAGCCCAATTCACCAATTTACACCAATGAGGTAAACAGAAGAATCAAGAACAGAGTAGAGTTTCACGCCAACAGAACAATCAGTCTGGCCACTTCCATGGTTCCAAGGTAGTATTATATACTATAACAATTTGCATACCATGCTTTACAGGCTCCAATTACATGGCATCATCACATGCATCTGGGAAAGTAGTTTTGACCCACATAACCTCCAGCAATTGCCCTTCTAACATTTGTCTCAAACAATTTAGGGTTGTCACGTAGAACTGCAGCTGCATCGTGGTTTAATGGGTCCTCATCGTTGGGTTGCTGCGCATTGTGGCATGCAAATAAGACAGACAGCCTTGGTTATATACTAACAAACACTGACACAATTTCTTTTCGTGAAGTATACGGAAAAATGTTATTCAAAGTGGTAAGAAATCAAAATACTAAAATAACAAACATCTAAAAGGCCACTCATCATTTTTGTCCTGACTAATAATTTCATAATCAATAAAAAATTCCAAAAATAAACTATATGATTTTACTGAATATCAGCGAGACATGTCACATCAGATGACATAAGATAAATAACCAACGTCTTGTCATGGCAAAAGGAGAAGTGTTTTTTAGAAGGAAAAAAACACCTCGAAGCTGGACAAATAACGAACAATCCAAACTTTGGATGCCAAATAACGAACAATCAACCATTCATGATTTAGTATTATGTAAAGATTACTATACGTCTAGGTTTATAAGATTTGTGTGTGAAAAACAAGAGCATTACTAAACACCAGCAATTTTAAATTTAATGATTAACATTGCATGTATTATAATTTGAGCTTTTAATGCCAAAATTATATTTTTGCACCGTCTACTTCTGTTACATATGGAACTAGATGACGACAACCACAAAAGTCATAATAATTGCAATTTTGGGTTTGCAAGTTTGAAATTAGCTAGACATGACTACACCAAACTTATTTCACAAAGAGAGCATGTCAAAGAAGATGAATAAACCAAGTTCCAAAAGGAAGCTCCCTAATCCAGTAGCAATAGAAACATAACGGACCTTAGCCAAGGTGAAGGCATAAACCAAAGCTCTATATTTGCTATAGAACTTTGGCTTTTGAAAAGTAAAGTGATTTTCCAAGTGTATCTACGATGCCTAGCTACACAAAGTAGATGAAAAATGTTATGTTCCCCACGTTATATCGACCCATCTCCACATGGTAGAAATCAATCTCAGGACAACCATTACAAATAATGACAGTTATGCCACAGGTTTAACAACCAATATATAAGAACCTTGACAGAAATAATTACTAGCATAATTAAAGCTTGATATTGCCAAAAAAAAATGTAACTTTAAATAATATATTAAACTTTCAAAAAGTGTGAATGAATCTCAACTATGAGCAGTAGATAAAGATATTGGTGGTCAACAAAAAAGACTGTTTTCCCTCGCTACATCCACAAAAAAACCAACTGAAGATAGGTAAACACACATATTAAATAAACAAGGAAATCTTTCAGATTATTTATTAATTAGACAGTATGAGAAATTTGGTAGAGCCAGTAAGCTAAAAGAGTACCATGAAAAGAAGAATTAAGCCGTAAATAACAGTGTTTATGTTGAGCACAGGCTTCCAATCTTCACGCAGGATATTAAGGCAGACATTTCCCTCTAAGTCAATATTAGGATGGTAAACCTGGTAAAAACAAAGATATATGTCATGCAATCAAAAAGGCAAATTTTCATTCAATACTGCCAAAAATCAAAGCCAGTTATACCTTGGTCTTGCATTTGACCTTTGGTGGTTCATGAGGATAAGAAGGAGATACATGAAAGGTAAAATGAAATGTACCACCTCTATAAGAAACAATAAGCAGAACATTGTTAGATAGAGCACATAAAGAATCACCAGAAGAACAAGATAACATACAACAAAAGAAGAAACTACTAGAAATGAAAGTTCTATACAGAGAATTTAGAAGAACCTAAGCATCATTGCCAGAGGACATGTAAAAATTATAAGAATAAGAGTACATAAGTAACCACAAGAAATTATGCAAATGACAAGAATTTTAAAATGAATGAATGTATTCAAACTAAAAGTTAAAAAAATTATATAAGTTAATTTGTAAAACAACAAACAAATATCATGTCAAGCCAGCAATAACATTCATGTTAGATAAGTTCTGCTGAACAGTTTATATGAGTGTATCCAAGAGAAGGAGATAATTGATGGACAATTACTCACTGATAGTATCCTTCATCAGGTCTTATGCTGATTTCAAAGTTCAACAGATCATCCTTCCCATTTGGAAATGATATGATAGCGCTTTTAGGCAGATTAAGCTCACTAATATCTGAAAAGTAGAAGTAGCAACTACTGAGTAAAAGCCCCTAATCCTACTACGGGACAGAACAATTCAAATTAAAGAGATGCATAAGTTAAAATATCATGCTAAATATCTATAATATTTTATATATAAATTTCAGAACAGTCAATTTGATTTCATAACAAGAACGTATCATCCAACACATCACAAATATTTATTTACATAACTAATTCAAGCTATAATTAAAAACCAACAGATACAATAAAAGAACAAATTATTTCTCAGCAGAATTCAAAAGAGAGAGAGAGAGAGAGAGAGAGAGAGAGAGAGAGAAGAAA